ACAAACAATATTTTATTGGCCATTAAACTTATAATAATCACATCATCATTTCTAATTCAAAGGAAAGTAATTTATAAAATAACCAAAACTCTTCCTTAGGATCTGAGGTAATATGCATGGTAACATGCAATCAGTCAGGCAAGTATACTTTTTTATATACTACATTAAGTAAAAATTTTATCTGTCTCTTCTTCTGAAAATGTATAAATTTCATATGGTAAAGCTAAAAGGAAGGAGCATAAAATAGCCATATCACAACCTATGGCTCAAATATTTTATGGGTATTTAACATTTTAAATGCACAAAACCCAAAGGACTGTACAACACAAAAAGTAAACTTTATGGCAAACTTAAAAAAATCAACTAGAACACTGGGGAATCCCAGGATGGAATGCAGACTGAGATTAAGTGAACCACTATATTACAAATGAATGATATGACCTCACTGAAGAGGGTGAAGGAAAAAGGTGCTGACCTAGCTAACTCTGGAAAATTCTGTGGTGACTCTCTAAGACTAAAGATAAAAAGAACTGTACTGAAATGCTATACTCTAGTTGGCAAATTTATTCCTCACGGGGTCCCGGTTAGCAATTCTGAAACTACTTTACGTGTATACTCTGGCTGCACAAATATGTAAATAACTGTAGTAATGGGAGCCAGGTTTCTCACCACAAGAGAAAAAATTACAAATAAGCAGGAGAGGAAGACTAGAATGAAATTGGTGATGCTGGCTTAGGCCTGAGACATCAGTGTGAACTCATGTTTATTTCTCACAGATAGACAGATGGGTAAGCAAGGAGAAATAACTATCGAGCTGTGCATACACAATGGGTGGAAGACATTCCTATATTTTCTAACTCTACCACTGAATGGTCCTGGAAGCAATAACACCCCAACAGTAACATCCAGTGCCCAGATCTTCATTTCTAAATAACATCCTCCAATAAAACGAACCAGAGCTCCTCGGGGAAATGGCTGATTTCAGGAGTGCAACAGGAAAAATAAAGGATGATGCCACAGAGTAAGAAACTGCTCAAAAAGCAAAACAATACAAAAAAAGATGCAGGCATGTCAAAAGGACACAGAAGCCAACTGGAAGAGTTACAGTGGCTAAAGAAGGAACAATTTGAGCAACAAAAGAAAGAACAATACTACTGGATTATAACCCAAAGAAAAAATCAATATTTATGACTTCCCACTGAGATAAATAAATGGGAGGGAAGAGGTAAATCTTTCATACAGAAGAATTCCAAATACTACATGTAGATACTCCCTACTCCTAGAGGTAGGCTCCTACAGCCCTCCCCATGAATGTGGGCTGCATCTAGTAACTCACATCCAAGAGTACAGCAGGGAAAGGGAAAACTGCTAACTTGTGGAGGAACCCCGCAGACAACACCTTCACCGAGGAACCCAGGTTAACATCACCAGGGACAATACAATGCCATGGGGAGCGCTTCAACTCTGTGGCATTTCTGCCCAGCCCAAGCCCCCAGTCTCATCTTGATAAAACACCGGACAAATCCAAATTCAGAGACTGTTCTACAAGCCGTCCAGATCGCAAACCAAGGGAAGACTGAGCAACTACACAGATCAGAGGAGACTGAGAAGACATGACTAAGAGCAAGGTGGCGTCCTTGACTGGGTCCTGGAACAGAAAGGGGACAGTAGCACAAAAACAGAAATCCAAATAATGTCCACAGTTTAGTTAACAGTATCTTACACCAATGTTAATATACTAATTTTGACAAATATAGCAAAGTAAAGTAAGATGCCAGTATTAGAGGAAGCTGCATAAGGAACATATGAAAACTCTGTACTATCTTTGCAAGTTTTCCATAAATCTAGAATCATCCCAAGATTACAAGTTTTTTAATTTAAAGATTTTAAAATATAATAAAATTTTAGAGAAAAACTGCTTTATAAAAGCATGTTTATAAGCCAAGGGGAATTAAATATAAGATCATATGTTATTTATAAACACTAATCACAAGTAACTTAATCATAAAGCATAAAAATATAAAGATATAGACAAGAAATCCTTCAACTATATTCATTAGTGTTACCACATAAGCCAAAAAAACAGTGCAACATAGAAGATATGTATTGGGTACATTCTGTGGTGCCCACTGGTCAAGACGCTTCTATCAAGAATGAAAATAAAGCTGTCTTTAAACCTAAAGCCTATACACTGCTTAAAACGTATGTCCTTCAAATGCAGGAGTATTTGGCAGAAATTAAAAGGTTAAATACATTTTAAAGATAAACATATAGAATAGTCTGGCCCATATTGACTTACAGTTAGCTTCAAAAGAAAAAAAAATTAACAAAGCTTCTAAAAATTAATAGTTTATATTTGGCTTCTATAGTATTTTACCATTTATACAAATACCTTTTTTAAGCCTCACAACAACCCTGTGAGGTAGGTAGGAAAGTATTACAGCCATTTTACAGATGCGATGATTTAGGATCAGAAAGATTAAGTCATTTACAAAGCCATGTGGTGAGAAAGACCCACACCAAGGAATGGAATCCAGTTACTTGATTTCAAAAACTGTGGCGTTCTCCAACATAGTCAAAGACTAAAACAAACCCAGAAGGAAGTCTACATACATTCATATACATACACACACATACACCTCCCCTTCCAGAAATTATGTTCCTGAAATGGAAATGAAAATAAGTCTTACTTTCCCACTGAGTTCATTATAATGTTGAAACCTCATTTTTTATTAGTTTGGACTGAAATTCTACTTCAGCTCTTGGTTACTCTTTTGTTATCTGACAAACACAACATTTTATAAAACAAAACTTAAAACAGGGGCTTCTGTACTTCATTTTTGTTTTGAAAAGCAAACAATCTGCAAGTAATTCTAACAGTCTTTAATTTACACACTTTATGAGCTTTGAATTTGTATGACTCTTCTTTTCTATAAGGATAACTGTTGCAGTTAAATCTCCACTGGTCAAACCGAAGGAATACAACATTGACAGGAATTCAAAACTATGGGCTACCATAGTTCATCATCTGTTTTCAACTTGAGTTCTAACAGAAAATGTAGTGCACTCATTCCCAATCTTTTTCTTGTTCCAACACATCTAAGGGACGCAGAGCTCTACCATTAGTAGGGACAGTTCATTGTCACAAATGGTTCTCAGGGAACAGGAAAAGAATTTGGGGTTGGGAGTTGAAAGCAGTTTTAAGAAGCCCCCACATGCCTCCCAGGGCCTTTACCATGAGTCCCTCTCTCTCATGAGATCTACTGAATCAGAGATGAGGTAATACCGCCAGAGCTGTTTCGTTCATATTACTTCAAAAATAGTGTTTCACAATAAAAATCAATCATCGACCCTGTCTTGCCCATATGTGTGCTCACTGGAACTGAACCACTCCAGCCAAAAACCTAGATCAAAGTAAGTCATTCACCATCTGAAGTATATGGCAGATCCTTATTCCATATCTAGTTTTGTTCTACTGATTTTGAAACCTGCACTATAAAAAAAATCGTATAAAGTAGTTATTTTGGACTAAACAGGGGAAAACAGTCATTTGCTTTAATAAAAAGATGTACATAAAAAATCATTCAGAGTCAAAATACTGTTCAAAGAAGATCTCATTGATCCCAGGGTCCTGGGAACAAATCCTGAATCGGGCACGCTGATCAGCAGGGAGTCTGCTTCTCTCTCTGCCTCTGCCCCTCCCCCCTGCTCATGTGCTCTCTTTCTCTCTCTCAAGTAAATAAAAAAATCTTAAGGAAAAAAAACAGGATCTCATATATAAATTCACTTTTAAGACTTGTAATTAAAATAATACTCAAAGTAAACTAACTTCTTATAGCTACAAAGTCCAGATTCCTTTTGCAAACATCTTTCTATATGATGTGAATGTCTGACCCGTTCTCCTAGGGTTCATGGTCTAGTTCATGAAAAATAAAGATCTTATAAACTGAGGTTCTCTTCCAATGTTTCCCATTATAAAGAAAATGCCTTCGATTGTATCACCTCTCACTCCAAAGCCAGCCAGACTGTGCAGTAAACTGAAATTAAAAAAATAAAAATAAAAGGTACACACGTATGTATGTAAATAGCTACTAAAATTGAAAATGACAACCAGAGACAGGTATAAAGGAACTCAAAGATCTGGGTGCTTTTGCTTTTAGCCAGATGAACATGCAAACTCACCACAAGAGAAAAATTACTCTTCTTCCTCTCAAAAACACTATCCAACAGTGTGCCCCTTTCTAGTTTGACCACCCTTAACAGTAAAGAATTTGAGACATGAAGCTATCAAAACAAAATTTGCACTGTTTTCAAACTGCTTTTTCTAGAAGGCATACTCCTCTCACAGAAATCTTCACATATCAAAATGTGGATTTGATAACTAAGACTTTCCTTAAACTTCTATCATCTATGCTAATCGTTAACTTTGCCAAATAAGATCATTTGATCATTCTTACATTCTTACATTTCTCTACAACTCACAGCTCTTTTGGCTAAAATCATGTGTAGTATCTGTTTTTATTGGTTTAAAATACAGTGGCCAAAAACTGGACATGCTACTCAAAAAGGGAACAAGCTATTGCAAAGAATAGAGAAAGAACCGAATCCATGACCTTGGATGCCATATTCATTTAAAAATATTTTAGCATCATGTTGGCTTTTTTACTGACTCATATTCAGCCTGTGGTCACCCATGATTGTGGCTTTCTTCCCTCTTTATTTATACCTAGCCTGTCCTTCTCCATCCTGTATTTATATGGCTGGATTTTTTTCCTCCACACACCACCTTCCACTTAATTCACTAAACTTCATACAGTTTTCGTAGATCCATTTCCACATTTATCACAGTGCTTTACAGAAATGTTTAAATCTGTAAGTTACAGTAACTACCAGTTACACCTTAAAAATATCAAAACTACGAAAGGACGTAATAACCACCACAACACACTGTAAGAATGGAACTGAGGACAAGACCATACTAACGCCTACCAGAAACCTACCTCCACTGGACGGTCACTCTTTACCAGGGCTACGCGTGCCCTCTGCAAGGAACCGTCCATCAGCTTGTGAAGTCTTAAAATTAACTTTCTTAACCCCATTTGCTTCAGTGCTTTGTCTACAAATGGTCTATAAATAGAAGTCAGACAATGTCTACTAAAGCCTGCTTCTGTACTGCAGTCTGGTGCTCCCCAGCCAACAGGGTCGTCCTCAGACTCAAGCCTCTCAAGCTTCTTAGGCACGCAATCCTGCGAATGGACGTTGAAACTGCTGTCAGTGGGCTCTGTGGGTTCCAGTGCCCTTGGACCTGAGAGCTGTTCTTCTTCACTCTCATCCGCGCTACTTTCCAGCTCTTTCAAGTCCCCTTCTGTGTCATCACCCTCATCTTCTGGCTCATTGCCTTTGGATGATCGAGGAGAAGGGATTTCAAACACTGGCCAGCCAATGTCTGATAAATTCTTGATGCCCAAAACAGTGCCCATAATCCTTAACTTCTGATTTAAGTCCTTTGTGATGTTTAACCACAAACAGAGTGCCTGCACCCTGTCCTGGAAGTCTTTTGCAGCATATTTTTCATAGTCCTTCTGAAGAGCCTGCAACGATGGATAAAGTGCTTCTATGTACTCCAGCAACTCCATTATCCGCTTTACCTGCTCAAACGACACCCTCTGGCGTTGGAGATGCTCATGATACGCTGAATAACCCACCATATTTGTTCCATGAGGGGCTCTGCACTGCCCTTCTACTGAAGTACCATTAAAACTAGCTCCATTTCTAACAAAGGCAAAGCTCCCATAATTAACTTTGAAAGTAAGGATTTCATTGATAATATCTGGGATGGCTTGACGGGCTGTATATAAAAAGAGGTCCTGGTCATTAATGGTCCGTCCTGCATGCCAGGCTTGTAGCTCTAACCAGATCAGTTCATTAGATCGGTTAAGCCAGAAAGCAGACGTATTTTCCTGTCCTCTTTGCTCCCTGTCCTTCTTCTTGGAGACTGAGGTAAGCTTTAGCAGAAGTCGTAAAGTCTCAAAAAACTTTAAGCGATCTGCTGGACAGTCAGTCCTAGAAGTCTGGCGTGCAGTTCTGGCTATAGGCATGGGCACGGACACCGGAAGCTTAGCGTTGCTGCAGCCAAGACTGAGGTAAGGCTTATTAAGATCCACATCTGGAATTGATTTTTTGGGCAAAGACCCACCCACTGAGTCCAACATGAACGAGCACTGCACATTTTTCTTATGATCACGCTCTGTTGTCCTAAGAGCTGCTCGGATCTTCTTCTCCTGCTTATAGCTGTATTCTTCCACACTCTCCACAGTTTTCCCAGTGTCTTTGTGGGGAGGCTGGTTTGGTGCATTCATTTTTTCTATTAAAAAGAAATAAACAGATCATTGTGTTAACTCTAAAACATGAAGCTACTCTCAATATCTTCAATAAAACTGACATTCACATATACTTATTTTTCAGGCTGTTACTGGAGAAAAAAATCATAACCATATGCTGAAAATTAAAAGATTCAAAATACATACATTTCTCTCTAAATTTCCAAAAAGATTTTATCCATTTTCCCTGCTTTATTATACTTGCTATGCTAATATTCTCCACTACAAATCTAAAACAAGCCACTTCTCTACACTAAAAGTGCAGTTATCCGAAATCACCACAAGTTAATCACATTTGACTTAAGAAGGGAAAAGCAGCACAGCAGACCTGACAGAAACATGATTTAGAAAACACATCCAGGCACCTGAGTGGCTCAGTCGGTTAAGCGCCTGCCTTCAGCTCAGGTCATGATCCCAGGGTCCTGGGATCAAGCCCCACATCGGGCTCCCTGCTCAGCAGGAGGCCTGCTTCTCCCTCTCCCACTCCCCCTGCTCGTGTTCCTTCTCTCACTGTCTTTGTCTCTGTCAAATAAATAAATAAATAAATAAATATCTTAAAAACAAAAACACAACACATCCCATCCCTGCCTCCGCCGTGAACTGAACTTACTAACTTGGACCAGACCGCGTAAGTTTCCTGGGTCACTTTTTTTTTTTTTTTAAGAGTTTATTTATTTGACAGAAAGAGCACAAGTAGGCAGAGCAGAAGGCAGAGGGAGAGGGAGAAGCAGGCTCTTCGCTCAGCGGGGAGCCCGACATAGGGCACGTCCCAGGACCCTGGGATTACGACCTGAGCCGAAAGCAGACGCTTAACCGACTGAGCCACCCAGACACCCCTCCTGGGTCACTTCTCTCATTAGTAAAATGAAATAGACTGAGCAAAGAATCTTTAAGCACTTTCAGATTATTCTCATAAAAAAATGAAAGACAGATAATAGGTAAAAATGTTAATTTACTCTACTCCTTGGTTTCTTCTTTCCCACAAATGAACAATAACATTTTAAATTTAGCATTAACAAAACTGAAGACATACAGAATAATTCAGTATCATTTGCCTCAACTGACATAGAAAATCATTCAAAATTAAAGCAAAGAAAGTAAATATCACACTTTCTCATCAAACAATTATAGAAAGTGCTATTAATTTTCCTCCCAAGCTTTGAAATGAACACACACCCCCCTTCCTTCCTGTTTGGCATTTCTGCCACTATTAACTACCTCTGCCTTACCAAAATCCCTTCATCCTGTTGTTTTCTAGATAAAACAGTCTCTGGGTTCTTTTCTACTTCCCAAGTCACTCCTTTTCAAATTTCCTCCTTGGAACCTGGCTCACTCCAGAAAACGCTGTTTCTCAGAGCTCCACTCTTCGATCTCCTCTGCCTTACTTTCCCCCTCCCTGCGTGATCTTCGCTTCCACTTCATATACTGATAATGGCCAAACCTAAAACCCCATTCCAGTCTCCCCTCCACACCCAAAATATACTTCGTGTCACTGAATCCAGGTCACACATTCTGTATTTTAACATCTCTGAAATTAAAATATGTTTTATAACTGATGATATGATTAAGTTTTAGAAACATATTCACTAATACGTTTTACTTTTGCTTTTATATATATAAAATATATATATTATAACACACACACACACAACATAAGTAACAAATAGTTTTTTAAATCCTGTATCTAAATATCAAGAAGTATAAAAAAGGGCTCTTTCAGTAAATAAAAAATAAAAATTCTAAGTATAAAAACACACTGTGTCTAAAATAAAAAAATAATAAATAAATAAATAAATAAATAAATAAATAAATAAATAAATAAAAAACAAAAACAAAAAACACACTGTGTCGGGGCACCTGGGTGGCTCAGTCGGTTAAGCGTCTGCCTTCGGCTCAGGTCATGATCCCAGGATCCTGGGATCGAGCCCCGCATCGGGCTTCCTGCTCAGTGGGGAGCCTGCTTCTCCCTCTCCCACTCTCCCTGCCTGTGCTCTCTCTCTTGCTCTCTCTCTCAAATTAAAAAAAAAAAAATTTTTTTTTTAAATCACACTGTGTCATCAATTGTAACAAGCATTTTTTTTCTTAAAATATATTATAGTATGCCTTAGATGTGGTGAAATAGGGTATATTTATATGGGTTACAAACTAATATATGCAAAATCAATTCACTAAAGAAATCCTGTTTAAAACCAATTTACCGGGGCGCCTGGGTGGCGCAGTCTTTAAGCGTCGGCCTCCGACTCAGGTCATGATCCCAGAGGCCTGGGATCAAGCCCCGCATTGGGCACCCTGCTCCGCGGGAAGCCTGCTTCTCCCTCTCCCACTCCCCCTGCTTGTGTTCCCTCTCTCGCTGTGTCTCTGTCAAATAAATAAATAAAAATCTTTTAAAAAATAAAAAATAAAAGTAAATAAATAAAACCAATTTACCTTCTAATCAATTTAAATTAAAATAGTTTTAAAAGAAGAATTTTAGGGGCACCTGGGTAGCTCAGTTAAGCATCTGACTCTTGATTTCTGCTCAGGTCATGATCTTAGGGTCATGAGACTGAGCCCCACATTGGGTTCCCGCTCTGGGCATACAGCCTGCTTAGGATTCTGTTTCTTCCTCTCCCCCTGCCCCTTCCCTTCCCCTACAGGCATGCATGTGCACTAATTTCCTTTATGGTCCATCAAAAAGGATTTTATCTGCCTATAGGGATTTTTGCTACATTTTAATATAAAAACGGTTATTATTACTTTTTAATTACCAATATTTTTAAATGATCGAATTTTTATCTGTAGTTTTAATCTATCTTACTTCTTTAAAAAAAAAAAGATTTTATTTACTTATTTGACAGAGAGAGACACAGCTAGAGAGGGAACACAAGCAGGGGGAGTGGGAGAGGAAGAAACAGGCTTCCCACCGAGCAGGGAGCCTGATGCGGGGCTCGATCCCAGGATCCTGGGATCATGACCTGAGCCAAAGGCAGATACTTAACGACTGAGCCACCCAGGCGCCCCATAATCTATCTTACTTCTAAAGGTCTTAAAACTTTTTATGCAATCCATTCAAAAAAATTTCTTCATAATTTTGTTTCTAGCTACAAATGCCTATCAATATTCATTCATAAAAAATTTGCCCAAGCCCGGCCTTTGTCTCCTCTTCGATGTTTTCTCTGTGTTCTTCATACCTTTATTGACATAGCACATACATACCATTCATCTCTACTTGGTAAAACAATGGTTATTTGAAAGCAAAGCTAACAAGTGCTTCCAAATTTAACTCCACTATATTTTATTTTTCAAGATAGGAATTGATACTATACTTTGTCACTATGAAACACAAAATGACATACATGGTATCACTGTTTAAGGCTAGAGGTAAAGATAATGAGTTTAGTTTTTAATACACTAAATTTGAGGGGTCTATGGGACAGCTATGTTGGTGATATCTGTAGGTAAGTAAAGTGGGTCTTGAGCTCAGGAGAGAAATCCAAAGATACAGATTTGGAAGTCATCAGTATATACACATGTTATTTAATACCAGGAGAATAGAATACATAAGAACAACCAAGAAACGTGTACAGAAGAGAAGCAATGCAGACCTAGAAGAGAATGCTGTATTGGTACATACATTCAAATAAATGGTTTGAATCAAAGAAATCAAGTATTTATGCAACAAAAAACAAGTTTTTTAGCTTAGGATTTAGGATCCTAACAAAACTTTATAAAATGATATAGAGTAACATTATTGATAATGGCCAGAGAATGTTTGCATACCACTTATAATTTGAAAGTAATAGTGAACAGTGAAAACGTATTACTTGGCTTATATAACTCATAAATGTTCTTCTAATCCATGATTTAAAGATTCTAAGGAAAACAAAGGGTTAACTGAGAGTAGCTAGGATAGTTTTTCTTAACTCCAGAAGACTGGGCTATAAACATTATGCCCAAAACCATGCTATATTTTCTAGGAAGCTAATATTCAAAGCATGAAAATATTAAAAGATAAAACTTCTCAGCCTTGATCTTTATTTCAATAATTAAAAGGACTCAACAGGGAAAAAAAATGCCATAGTCCCATTTTTCAGTATAAGAAGAATCAAATTTTAGTAGCCTAAGAAACTAATTTTTGCAGATTACATACAAATCTTTTTAAGCTTACCTCACAGCATACAAAATGGTATATTATACAATTTTTTAAAATTTTGTGTTTACATAAAGCAATGGCTTATCTGGATTTACAATGTGTGTAAAGAAAAGCAAATAGGGAAAGGCACAAGATGGAACATAAGAGTTGTTTGTTTGTTTTTTTTTTCCAAAACAAAAAATCAAGTTGGTTTTGAAAAAAAATACACAAATGGAAACTGATACATCATCGTGTTTTAAAATGATGTAATTTAAACTTAAAATAGACTAAATCCCTAGTCTAGCTACCATGAAAAAAAATCAATCTATTTATTTTATCAGTAGCTATACTTTTCAAATAATATATTTGTGATGGGCAAAGGAAACACAAGAGTATTTCCTAGCAATCAGTGACCAGGTAGTCCTCTATGAAACCATAAGGGACCTGTCAGTTAAGGGAGATTGCGAAGTACTACAGTGTTGGGGGTGAAAAGAAATCTATAAGCTGAGACACAGTTTTTATTCCCAAGCACTTTATATTCTGTCTGTACCCAATCTGACATGAGTGCAAAACTTTTAATAATAACTTGAAAGCCCATTAATAATGGACAAGTTTGTTTCTACATCTAGTTTTCTTTTAATACTAAATCCCTTTGCAATTAATAAAAAGTCAAATACAAACAGCTTCTGAAAAGGAGAATAAATCAAAAGTAGACAGAATGTATTACATGACAAGTTCTCATTATAGTATTATAAAACTAGTTCATAATAACTTCAGGAAAACTAATGGGACATCTGATCTCCTGAGTGGCTGTAAATTAAATGGTGCAATTTGGTTAGCGCAGTTATAGCGATCTTCCAAAGTAGTTACTTT